GAAATGCTGAACAATTTCCTCGCATACAACATGCAGGCCCGATTTTTAATTTCTGAGATATTTTAAACCATATGTTACTATTTCAATGGCCCTTCTAAAACTAACCTGGGAATTACACCCTCCGCATCTGCCTGGTGCTATAGTTTGTTGTTTTAGTTTAGTTTGTTGTATGCTGTTTGTTATTTTTGTTCACTTTGACTGGTCATTTATGAAAAATCTATTTTAAAAATGTAAGTCTCATAAATAACCATTGAATAAAAAAAGGGCTTTTTAATGTATAGGGCAGGGGAAGTTTAAAAATTGACTTAGAATGTACGAAATAGATTTTTGTAGATGTAGCAATGATATTGATCAACTGTATATACCTGCGACTGTAGATGTTAGACGTTAATAGTTGGATATAAACGTTCTCGCTCAAACTCCTCTGGCTTTAACACCAGTGATGCGGTTGAGAGAGTAGAGCAGGGATCTCTTGGAGTCCTACTTTTCCTTCTATAGTTGGAGGGAGAAGCCTGGCTTGTGGTACCCTGCCTAAGTGTATATATTGTAAATAGGTATGACTGTGTTTTTATGTTTTTAATTTACTTATCTTTAGGTTATTTTATTTTTATTGTACATTCTTTTTGATTATTATTTAGTTTTGATTTTACTGTTGTTAATTTTATGTATTCTGTATATATTTTATGAATGTGTTCATACATCACTATAATTATTGTCCACTTGGCAGATTATTATATTTCTAAATGAAAAAAAAAAAAATTGGATTCATGAAATATTATTATTTTTTTTTTATTTGTTTTCCACCCTCCCATGCCACCAGGGCAACACGGGTGTATGCAGTAGTGTGATGTTAAGCATTAATGCATAATAACACACTACTGCCATAATATCAGTTTACAAAATTCTAAGCTGTGCACACAGCTAGCTCTTCTACTTTTTCCTGGCTCCTTTAGGCCTGGCTTCCCGAATCCGGAGGTCTTCCTGGGACTGGTCCTCTTCTCCTTCTGTGTGCACCTAGGTTGAAGTGAGCTGGGCCCACCGCCGTCTTCCAGCCATTTATAAAGTCTTTGAACCGCGGAAAGTTTTCTTCACTCACCAACTGAGGAAACTCCTCCTCAGTGAGGACGTAAACTCCCGTCGTTCTCATTAACCTCGCTCTTAATTCGTCGAAAGCAGTGCAGGCCGTGACCACATGCTCAACAGTCTCCGGAACACCACAAGCGGGACAGTGGGGATCTATATCATGTCGAAGCCTGAAGTTAGCTCTGAAACCCCCATGTCCCGTGAGAAATTGTGAAACCCAATAGTCCGGGAGGACCCATTTCGCCTGTAACCGAGATTCAACGGTGGGAAAGTATTTTCTTAAGGTACTGCCTTTCGGAGTCGTCACCCACCGTCTGCTCCAATCTTCAATTGTTTCCTCCCGGATAATCTTTTTCCATTTATTTGGGTTTTCAATAATCCTCATCCGTAGGTTATCCGACAGACTTGTTGAGCCCTCCTTCTTGTAGTTGAACCTGGTCACTTCTTCTCGCAGGAGGAGGTCGAGAGGCGCCACCCCCGCTAAGACCTGCACTGCTTCATGCGACGTAGACCTATATGCTCTGGTGACCCGAAGCAGAGCAGTTCTCTGAGTCGATGCTAGCCTATTTCTTTGTCTGAGTGTGAGGTTTCGGAACCAGAAGGGAGACGCATACCTAAGGATACCCTCCACAACACCCTTATAAATAGTGATAGTGGCTGGATACCTAAGGCCCCAAAATGCGCCCCCCACACGACTTAGACCGTTCATTGCTAGGGCCACCCTACCTGCCAGATATTCCAAATGAGGCGTCATATTGAGGCCTACACCTAACCTAACCCCTAGGTAGGTTGCCACTTCACTTGGACGTATCCTCTGACCTTCTATGTACATCGTTATAGGGTGTGCCCTATCAGTCTTTCCCTTAAGGAGGATGGCTTGAGTCTTAGCAGCAGCCATCCTCATCTTCTTCCCCTCACACCATCTAGCGACTAGGCTGGCGCATCGCTCTGCTTCTCTCTTGACTCCAGCTCTGCTGTTGGAGGCCACCACAGCAGCTAGGTCGTCAACGTAAGCAGGAAACCGCTCCTCCTCTAACACTCCCAGTAACTCATCAAAGACGAGCTTCCATAGAGCAGGACCAAGCACCGATCCCTGAGGGCAACCTCTCTCTATGGAAGCTTCTACCTCGTAGTAATTGCCTCTAATCTTGACACTTCTATCCTGGAGATAACTGCTTACTAATGTGTATAAGTTACTAGGAGCATCATACCTCTGCAGCTGCTGGAGCACGCTAGGCCACCATACGCTGTCAAAGGCGGAGGATATGTCGAAAAGAAGCAACATGACATACCGCTCCGCCCTCTCCTCAACATCTCTGCGCACTCTCAGCAGGGCATCAGCGGTTCCTCTGCCTCTGGTTGATCCATATTGCCGTGGATGACTTGCTCTAGCGAAAACAGGCCGTAAACTAGTCATCATGAGGTTCTCCAGGACCTTGCTAATCACAGGGAGGAGACATATAGGTCTATATGAATTAGGGAGTTGTTTGTCCCTATCTCCTCCCTTGTAGAGTAGTCTCAAATCAGCGATCTTCCATCTTCTTGGAAAGTATCCCATATCCAGACATTCATTGAAAATACTCAACAGCCGGTCTTCAATATACGTGATACTGTTCCTCAAGATCGCTGCATCTATTGCATCAAGTCCTGGAGCACGATTAGTCTTCTGCTTATCCACGGCAATACGAAGATCGTGAATGTCCCATGGTGGGCACAAATCTGAACCAGGTGGATATACCGTGGTGCGTCTCACAAAATCATCATTTTCGCTGTCCTGGGTTGGGTCATCTCTGGGATATATTGCTTCAATGAAAACATTGGCAGTTTCTTCAAGGGTGGTTGCCTCAGTATTATGATACCGCAAGGCTGCAATAGTCTGCATCGGGGACAACTTACCCAATGCTACCCTATACGGAATACCCCAGGGATTCTTCAAAGACTCTTCAATGATGAAATCATCCCAAGACTTCCGCTTTTGTGAGCGAACCTCGTTTCGGTATATCCTGGCTTTTGACTTGTACTCATTGCGAAGTACAGTGCGCCTCTCTTCGCATCTGCACCTCTGATATGACCGCCGGGCCGTGTAGAGGTCTCGTTTTAGAACAGTTAAGGCTGGCGTCCCCCAGGGGACAGGTCGAACCCTCGCCTTCCGGTGCTTGAGGGAGTGTTCGGCAGCATCACGAATGTTGTTGGTAATCCTGGACACCTTGTAGTCCAGATTGTCAACTACATCCATCTCTGCCGCTTCCCACTCCTCGTCTACAATCACTCCTTCCAGGTAGGACCTGAAGACACTCCAGTCATTTATTTTAGTGACGAAACCCTTATCAGTACCGTGGGAACATCCTGGCTCATTTACCAGGCCAATTGCTATCGCAACGTGATCGGAACTCGTATCAGATCTGAGAGTCCAATCAGCAATATACCTCGTAAGCGCAGGCGTGGCGATCGTGACGTCAATCCAACTCTGCCCCATGCCTCCAGAGAAGGTAGGGGTGGCAGAGGGTTCGTTCATCACGACAAGGTGATTTCTGCCTATGAAATTTCCCATTTTAGCGCCTCGCCTGTCAGTAATATTGGACCCCCAGACCGTGTTCCAGGAGTTGGTATCTGAGCACATGATCACATTCCTCCTCTCTCTAATGATCGCCTCCATAGCGGATATGCTTTCTTCTACATCACTATTCACAGGTAGGTATGCCGATACCAATGTGAAAGAAATCTTGCCCCACTTAACATAGCAAGATGCATAATCCGCCATGGTGTGTTGTCTCAGATCCATCACGTCAAGGTTAGGATTATTAATCACTATTGCAGCCCTGGGCCTCCTCTCTCCACTGCTCAGGGCTATAACTCTTGACGTGAGGCCAAACCCCGTAACCCTGTTCCCACGGCAGCTAGGTTCCTGGACCGCCATGATATCGTAGCGTTGTGCCATGGCGCGAAGCTCGTCAGCCACAATATGCCGGCGGCCCATATTCAACTGCAGGATGTTGAGTCTAATCATAGTGAGTTCTCCTCACTAATTCTTGAGATCTCTTGATGTGCACTGGGCATTCTCTACTTCCTGCCTGGTGTTTAGCCTTACTTTTTTGAACACCTTCCCTCACGCAGTTAACGCATGTAGGTGCGGTCTTATTTCCTTTTGCGGGACAGTTTTTAGCAATATGCCCACTCGCCGCACACCACTTGCATACTATGCCATTTGCCTCACAAGTAGCTTTTGTATGTCCATATCCCTGACACCTTAGACAGGGAGGAGCATCGGGGTAATCTAAGATTGTCAGTGACCACCAACCTCCTGTAATTATTTCCTCCTTGAGTAGATTATATCTTACCATTGGATGTACTTCTAACACCCAATTATTGGTAATTTTATTTCTAGCCATTGATGAGAACAATGGCTTTATATTACCTAATTGGTTCTCAGAAATAACGGCCGATTTTGCAGCCAACCTTTCCCATAGCACCCTTTCTAGATTTTCCGCACTCCATGAAAGGGGAACTCCTTTTACCTCCACTTTTGGTTTTCTTTTTAAGGCTAGTTTTGCCTCCATCCCAACATCTTTTAATTTTTGCCATTCAATTATTTTTTTCGCATGGGCACCCTCATCTACACAAACTAAAACTGAGCCAGCTTTGGTCGCCCGTACAACTCTCGCCTTGAATCCTAGTTCAGTTGGAGAAGGCAGATTGTTGATGATGTCAGCTGCACTTTTACCTTGAGAAGCGATGGTAACATAAGTTGGTCTTGTAGTATCCATCGGTTTTAATGGAAGCCCTTTAACAATATCGGCCATCGTAGTCTGATGTGTAGACCTTTTCTTGGTCAAACTTTCCTCTGCTATTGGTTTAGAGGCCTCGATCTCTTTGGCCACTTGTGGAAGAGCCTTTTTCCTTCTTTGCTTTTTCTTTACTTCCTGGAATCTTTCATTCTCCGTGGTCTCAATAATAGCGTGGGCATCGGCTAATAGCGGTTGTTCTTTAACGCATGGAAACTCCCGAGATGTCTGAGGTTCTGACAGTGGTCTTTGTATGGTTTTACTTTCCGTCTTGAGTCCCTCGATAACCATAGGTACTGCTTTTTCCACTAATGCATTTACTATGATATCATACATTTCAGAGGAAGCTAATGTGTCCTTTACCACACGTTGTACTAAAAACGTTTTTTCATAGTTCTTATCATATATTGTCTCCATTATATCTATTAACTGCTGAATTTTCCCATTAACGTGCTTTTGTACCTTCGCACTCACGTTCCTGTCTGTTGCGTTCATGTAGACCCTGATGTTTTCTTTGATTCTACGTGCATCTTGCAGAAGACTATCGTCTACACGTTCTTTATCTGTTTCTTCTCGGGCGTCAGGAGATCCTTTCCTTTGCCTCTTTGCTGAAGGCCTTGGGCACTTTATAGCCTGTTCTTCCACCATTTCCTGCTCCATTGCTGATGCAATTTCATCAGCCATCTTACGCAATCCAAAATTAACAACTTTATACGTTGAAATAATGGGTGAACAACAGTAGAAGGAAATATTCAACACTCAAAATCTAACCTACGTTCGGGAAACTTATAAATTTCCTATCTTCAAAAGTAAGACTTTAATATGAACTTACCTTAGTGCTTCACCAACGTAATAGTCTCTAAACGTCCTTTTGGTTAGATTAAACCTTCGTGAAAACCACAAAGTTAACCTTAACCTCCACTGTTCACTCAAAAAGTTTATAAAATTAACTAAATAAACATAAACTAAAACTAAATCATGTTCAAAAAAATATAAAACACTAAAATAACACAAACAGTAGGAAACGATACAACAAAACTTACAAAACAAACTTGAAAAATACAAAACACTGAGAAGCACAATAACACTTTATCATAGGTAGATAACCTTCCCTGGATTCATGAAATAGTTAGATAAACGATTTATTACAATTTCTCTCATAAACAATCTAATTTCCTCTCAGCTTCTGTGGTAAACCATCTAGTTATTCCCCCATCTATTCTCTTCCTCCATCCCCAGAAATAAATACCTCTGTAGCAACTACTGAAGCTGTCACCGGATACTGTACGAAATACAACATCCAACTGTTATTGATATTATATAATAATGACAAATTTACAAAATATCTAAAATAAAGAATGGCGTGTTAAAATCATTCTTAATTTTCAGACTGAAAGGTTATCCGAGATAAGGAGTGTCCTGTTTAATAAATTGAAGTAATAAATATTCACTCTTCGATAGGAATCAGATCGCAAGATCGGAATCATATCCTTACTTGCAGGATGTTTGCCAAAGGATAACGACTATCTTTTTTTTTCCATAGATGTAATTGAATTATTTTATTAAAAAATAATACGGTAGTCAAAGAGTAATTATACAACTATAAGAAAATGATTAAATCTTCGAGATCTAAGTTTTTTTTTTTAATTTCAGCAATTAAAAGAGGTTTAATCAGTAATAAATCAATCCCAAGGCGTTAATCTAAATGTAAAATCTGGCAATTTAGAAGCAGTCGGAGGGACAGGTGGACTTTCACGGAGAGCTAGTAATTAAAACGTCAGTGGGGAACCGGAGGTCTGTTATGGACGACATGTTGCTCTTGCAGTTTACCATCCTCTTCCCCACGTGCACGATACATATTTATGCATGCCTTATCCTCGCATAGCCACGGAGGATCGCTATCGCGTCGATTAAACTGCTAATCGTAAAACCCAAGAGTTAGAAAGTTATAAGGTGACATTTATAGAACCCGAGTCGATCCCGGAGTATGGAGGCAGGCTTTTATAGTGGTTGTAAACATTGCTATATATCGTCAACAACTTCATCCCTCATTCATAAGCAAGATGGGATTCGGGGTTTACGGGTTAAGGTCTATTGCTTGTCGTTGCTTGATGTTATCGTATGGACGGACCCATAAGCGATGACATGAAGTATAAACTGCATGCAGAGTACAAGTGAGGTCACCTGGAAGGTTGAAAGAAGGCCTAAAATGGTTTGACTATACTCTAAAATAGAGAGAGAATCACTTTATTATCATAAAAGAGTGCTGCCCAATTACATTGGGTTGCTTTAAACACAGCATACTTATTAATCGATACAGACAATTTTTCAAAACTAATATACAATTATATAGTATTAACATTATGTATGAGCATAGTATACAATTTATTTTTTTATCTATGTGTATATTTGTTTTTATTATAATTTTTTTTTCCTATATTTTTTACTTTTTTACTTTTTTACTATTTCTTTCATTCATTTATTAGCATTATACATACATTCCTTCTCTCACCTTATACATTTTTCTCATTCCCTAGATTCTCTCCTCTCTCTTCCCGACCTAATTCATAAAATGCATACAAATACATAAAGTGTAGTGGATGTGGTCAATAAATAATGTAAAAATTCTATAAAACACGCATGCCTCCCCCCATGAACAAACTCTCTCTCTATCCATGCACATGGTGATGGATAATTCCAGGGAGTCGAGGATTATATTCTCCGCCAATCTTGCCACGTCTTTTATGTCGACACCAAGGCCTTCCATGAAGCTCCTTGTTGAGTTAGGTATCGAACCAAAGGCCTCTCACGTGGAACTCTCTCGGCCCGAAACTCTCGCGGAACTTTTCATTAAGGAAAGGAATGCATTTCTTGTTTTAACTTCCATAATTTTATATAATTATCAAAAATATTATAGAGGTATTGGCGTAACTTATGATAAATATACTCCGAAATCATCCATCCTACTTCTTATAATTGAATAAATTCTTTATATGTTATGGAGTTATAGAGATATCGAAGATTAAATATGGATATTAATATCGGCCTATAAATGGCGATACCATCGAAATATCGGACTTGAAAAATCAATAATCGATATTATAAACATTTTTGAAATATGAATATGAATATAAATATTGATTCTCTAGCTCCTAGGTACATAAAAAAACCCTGCAAATTACTTCACATTGGTTTATTATTTCCAAACCATTATACATAAAAAGTAACATTACCTTTATAGTGACAGAAAAAGTTTGTCCAATTATTGCCCTTGAGATTTTTTTTAACCAAATAAAACAAATAAAAATTACTTCAGTAACATATTAAAAATAAAAAAAAACAAAACAAAGGATATAACATTTGCAGTCTAACATAAAAAAATAATATCTAGAGGCCATATCTTTGCTCCTAATTGTCCAATTTTAATGATTTTTAATTAATTTCGTAAAATTTTAAAAACCATGTACAATATCGACATAAATGTATACTTTTTGAGTTATTCGGAATCTAATATTACCACCCCTCGTAACTTTTTTTCCATCTTCATTTCGTTGAAATATGTTCTTCAGATAAATTTAAAGGGTATCGAAAAGAAGACTTTAGACAAGTATCATTGAAATCGGTACATTCGTTTAGGCACTGCTGTCTATAGCAACGTAGGTTTTTCACCCGCTATCTTAACAGGAAAAGGCGAATAGTTATGTCGGTGAAGGAGGATCATCCTCGGGTGACCACTGATTTTATATCCGAATTTGAAAAAATCGGTCCAGTAGCTCGGAGAAAATGCGCGGACGGCGTACGGCGGACGGACAAAAAAAATGTTTATTCGTTTTTCGAATTCTACGCATCCTGAAACGTGGAACCTCAAATTTTGAGAGGGGGTTAATTTTTTGATTTTTTTGGTCGATCACAATGTTTGATTATTGAAAATAATAAACCAAAATATCAATATTTAGGATATATCAGTGAAAAGATATTCCTAAAGATGAGATAAAAACTCCGGAAACATTGAAAAAATAATACATATTGTTAATGAGCAATTTATGCAACGAAATGAATAAAAAAAGAAAGAAAATGTTCAGAAAATCTTATATAATAATATATTAGGTCAATAACTCCAAATTTGCTGAAATGTGTGAAGTACAAATTTCCACCTCCATAAATAGCCGCAAATACGACCGGCAGAACCAGTGAATATTTTTAAATTCATATTTATTTTTTAAATTAGGGTCATTTGAATTTATAATTAGTTAATGGAATTCAAAAATTTAGCGGCAGGATAAAAATAAGAGAAAATTCCGGATTCCGCATTACATAAATATTCATTAATTTATGCCGAAGGAAGCAGCTTGTTCCAGTTTCAGAAATTAACCAGTTTCGGCAATTTAAATATTTCGCGAAATATGCATTCATTCCTTGGATTGGAGTATTATGTTTCGTTTTCATGAGTTCAGCATCGATTCACACTCAAGTTATTTTGTTTCTTAACCTCGTTTTAGAATGTCATTGCTCTGGATGAGATCAGCAAATTAAAATTACCATTAGTGAATTATCATTAGAATCGTTTTGAGTAATTATTCATATCAAATACATGATTACAGAGCTATAATTCTAATTCTGAATCTTCGTGGATTGTTGGTCACCCCTCCAATAAAAATAGAAAGGGAGCGAGAATATCGTGTCGCCTCCTCTAATATTTCAGAGAAGATAAATAAAAAAAAAATCAATAACATAATTGGTAATTGGTTGACTGTCGTGGATAATGAAGAGAAGAATAGTTGGGGTGTTCAGTCAAAAAGGAAGGCAAAAATAAATGATAATATTTATTTTTTACATATGCCGACGTTTCGACCTGAAGTTCAGGCCTTCATCAGGGCTAATTTAAATTTAAAATATAAATTTAAATTTAAAACTTAAATTTAAATTTAATTTCTCTTCAAAAATCAATAACAATTAATCTACATGAATGAATAAAATATATAAACTAAAATAATTAAGAAAATAGGAAAAGTCGACCAGATGGTTAAGTTAAGGCCTAGAAGTAGGTACATGAGTACCTATTATTGAAATTTTCGTTTATATTCAAAGATAATGAATGGTATGTAGCAAGACACACTCAGTGTCAAAATGTTAGACACACTTCAAAAATTGTTATCACAACCCTCCCATCTTTTCAAATTACTCGTAAAACAGTATTAAAATAATCTATCGCTCACCTGAAGTTAATCACCAGCCTGCTTGTATTTCGGTTCTCAAGCCAAAAATATATACTTTTTTTTATTTTTCAAACTAAATTTAAGGCCTGTCAAAATGTTAGACACGTTCCAAAATAAAAATAAATTAAACTCAATATAATACTTCGTGACCTTTCCACCACCATTTATTAATTAAAAAAATTGGTAATGAATCGTACAATTGTTTGATTGTTTCTTGAGGTAATTGTTCCCATGAAGAATTGCATATTTCAAATCCTCGATTGTTCCGAGCTGTCTGGAGTCAGAGTACACCCTCCATGAAAGAATTTTCCAAACATTTTCGATAATGTTCAGGTCTGGGGAGACAGCAGACCAATCTAATTTGGCAATTGTGTTGCGAATAAACCAGTCTTAAATAATTTTTGCTTAATGTATTGGGGCTTTATCTTGCTGGTGTACCTTCAGACATGTCATTAAAAGTCAACTTTT